TCACCACTACCATCATCATCATAATCTAGATACTGGACACGGTAGTGGTAGGAGCTTCCTTCGCGGTCGGTCTGACGTACGTAACGGATGCCACGGATGAAGACGATGGACAGCAGGCGGTTGTGGCTCTCTTCGTACTACTCATTTGGCGGGTGGCCAGAGCAGTTGATGGTCGGTTTGTTGATGATGATGATGGTGATGATGAGGAAGATGATGATGATGGCGGTGGTGGTGTTAATGGTGATGATGCAGAAGATGATGGTGAAGATGATGGTGAAGATGAGGAAGATGATGATGATGGTGGTGGTGGTAATGATGATGGTGATGAGGAAGAAGATGATGATGATGATGATGATGATGAAGATGATGATGATGGTGGTGTTAATGGTGATGATGAAGAAGATGATGGTTATGATGAGGAAGATGATGATGATGGTGGTAATGGTGATGATGATGATGAGAAAGATGATGATGAAGAAAGAGGAAGACAATGTTGATGATGATGATGACGATGGTAATGATGATGACGATGATAAATTTGTTTGTCACTTTATCAATGATTGAATGATTTGTTTAATTTTTTCAATTCTCTTAGTGTTTTATCTTTGTCAAATTTATTTTTTTTATTCTTTTGTTTCCCGCCAAAAAAAACAGCAATCTCATGAATACACTGACGCGTTTTTACGCGGGTGACTTAGATCATCTGCTAATTGGACAATCACATACACACAGCAGAATTATACACACACACACACATATACATACACTCACATACACACCTACATACAAACGCACACACACACACATACATACACTCACATCCATACAAACACACGGACACACACACACAAACTTACACTCACATGCACTTACATAAAAACACACATACAAACACACATACAAACACACACGCAGGGATAATAATAACAATAAAAAGACGCCAGGAACTGAGAATTCGTCTGCAGAGAAGAATGAGGAGGAAGATGGAGAGGTTGGCTGAGATGGCGGAGTCTGATAAACAACTGAATGTCGTAAGTTAGACGCATGGGTGAATGAATGAATGAGTGAGTGAGTGAGTGATCGAACGAACGAACGAACGAATGAATGAATGAATGAATGAATGAACGAACGAACGAATGAATGGATAGATGAATGGGTGAATTGATGGATGGATGGACGGCTGGACGAGATGGCCTAGTCAGATAAAAATTGAACATTGCAAGTTAGATAGACGATGGATTGATAGATGGATGGGTGGATGAATGGATAGATGGATGAATAGATAGATGGATAAATAAATGAAGGAATGGATTGATAGATTGATAGATTGCTGAATCATTGAGTTAGTCGATTGACTTACTTAACTGGGATTAGACTCCGAAAGTTAATTTGTATTCCAAAAAAGGACCATTTCGATTTTTTTTAAATTTATATTATTGATTATTTCATTAATTACCCAACCATTTAAACCTATAACTTATATACCCAGTTAACTAAATAACTGATTAATTTAACCATCTTGAATAAATGAACAGTTTCATTTTTTTTCTAAATTAATAAACCGAATAACATCTGATCTTCTAGGAGCACATAGAAGCCTTAAAGATCTTATGCCTGAGATCTGGCATTGAGCAGAGCCACATCTCTGCCATCTGCCAATCAAAAAGTAAAAAATATTAACTATATTTAAATGTAATTATTAATATTTTTGATAATTATGATTTGAAAATTGTTTTGTAACATCTATAAATGGGTTTTCATTTTATGAGAAATTAATTTAGAGGCAAGCCACTTATCGTGATGACAAGCTATGTTATTATAATATTTTTGAATTATAAGCATAATAATTTTCATAAATATCATGTTATTTCATAATATTTTTATTGCCCCCCACAAGGCCCGAAGAAAATGACCCGGATGTTGGCCGCCCTCTCCTCCATGGCCCGCATACACGTGGGCATGTCAATCATTCCATCGTTCGGACTCTACAGGCACGTTTCTGATTGGTGCTTGAATTTAAGCTCCACCCACCATATAAATAGCAACAACAATAGTGATAATAATAACATTGGTTCTGTCTGCAAGTTGAAGAACAATGGGAAAGTGCTTTCGAATGATCGATAGTGATTATGGAACNTAGGGGAAAATCTAAACTAAAAAAATTTTTGAACTCCAAAACCCCAAACCACAATTTAGAAAATAACCCTTCCGTTTCACCCCAATCTATAAATACCTCTCCTTATCTATACTTGAAACAACCGACCAATAATATCGCTGCCATGAGGAGGGCGACGTTCACGCTGGCCAATGAGAGTAAGTATTTACAGATACCTCATAAGAGTTCGACCAATCAGGAGTTGAGTTCTTACCAGAAGAGCAAACTCGAATGTGATTGGGCGATTTACTATGATGATAGTTCCACCGATATTTCTGACCATTACAATCGGTCAGTTAATTGTTCTATTAGAGAAAGCCAAATTTGGGATAATAATAATAGCAATAATAAAGATCACAACATAAATAAAGATAATAATATTAGCAAAAATGCCATTATAAATAATAACATTTTTATTAACAACATTAATAATAATAATATTTATAATAATATAAATAATAATAATATTCGAATAATCAAAGAAAATTATGGCTTTAATATTAACAACAACAACAACATCATCGCGCCATACATCGATGATGATGATGATGTTGTTGTTGCTGCTGATGATGATAATGATGCTATCGATGATGAAAAGGAGGAGGAACAGGAAATGGTCAGAGTAAATAAAAGTAATAGCCATGGTAAAAATGACGTCATCCTAAAAACGTTCGGTAAAAAATTGTCTGCGGGTTCTGGCGAGAAAGCCAAGAAAAAATTTACAATTTTTTAATTTTGATCAAAAAATTTAAATTAATAATAGATAATAACAAATTAATAAATTATTTTAATCATTTAATCTATATATTCAATTACTTAAATTCTCAATTGAATACATTTTAAAAACCTTAAAAATTCCAACTGACCGACCAACCGAAAATAACCGATCTACCAACAAACCACCGACTGACTGATTGACCAATCTACCTATCTACCCATCTACCTACCTGCCTACCTACCTACCCACCTACCTACCCCCCTACCTACTAACCAGCTGACCGATCAGCTGACCGACTGATATTAACAACTCACGAACAAACAAACGATTCAAAATAATAACGAAAATGTATTCGAAATTCGACATTTTTGGTCAATTTTAACATTTTGAAAATAAATATTTTTTGCCCGAGTAGTTTGGTTTCTAAGCTCTTTTCGATTTCAAATGTTTTTTAATTTGAAAATAATAAAATCAATTTGAAAATTTATTAAAAAGTTTTGTTGTTATAGTGAACTGTTTGCAACGTAACGCTAAAAACAACAAACAATTATAGTAGTGATTATTGTAGTAGTCATTGTAGTAAGTAGTAGTAGTAGTAGTAGCAGCAAGAGTAGTAGTAGCAGCAGTAGTAATAGCAGCAGCAGCAGCAGCAGTAATAGTAGTGGTAGGCATCTTAGTTATTAACCGTTTCTTATTTGGTTTTACGATCAAACTAAGTTCTAAATAACGTTGTATATAACGAAAATAATAACGACATCATCCAAACGCGTGTCCATAAACACACACACGCACACACAAGCACGCACACACACAGAGCAGCCAAACTTCAACAAAGCCATCCAATAAACCTCAACTAATATGACTAACATCCAACTGCTATTCAATCAAACAGTTTTTATTAGAAGGCTACAATAACAAAGCTCCATCTTAGTTACGATCATATTTACAACTTTCCACCCTCCAATAAAATCCGCATTCCCGCCCTGTAATTAATAAAGATATTAATTAGAGGCACACTTCCATCTTTATGATTAATTAAAAAGCAATTAAAGAGCGGATATTACAGTCCAGAGTGATTGTATTTGAACGTTATAAACTTCAGCGACGGGGTTTTTATTGGAGTCGCTTTCACGCTGTTTTAATCCTCGTTGCTGGGATTGACTTTGATTTGAACGTTATTATCGTTGTGTTCATTTATGTTGTTTTAATTGATGTTGATGTTGTATTCACTGATGGTAATGTCCTTTTAATTGATGTCTTTGTTGAGTGCTATTGAGACTTGGAGGGTATATAAGCCTCCGTCTGATAAGGTGCCAAGTACCAATGCGTAAGTTTCCCTCTGATTTGAATTTGAGTTAGTTGATTGAAGTTGAAATAACTCTTTACTCCATTGTTTTGTTGACCATCGCCTGGTGGAGTGGCTCTGAGGTGCGAACATCCGCTCTGATTCGATCAGCTGGAACGAGTAGAACAACAAGACATTCAGAGCATCCGCATCATTAACAACTCAACAACATCAACAACTCATCAACATCAACAACATTCGCAACACTACATCTCAACATGCCTTCCAACAACACAACAAACGATCGAGTCGCAGCTGTTGAAAGCTGCATCTGTCACCTGATGGACCAGCTCCTCAACATGAGAAGCAACGATCGTGTCGATGGTTCACTTGCAACGACAACAAACTCAACAACGACTTCCAACAGCCTGAATGTTGAAGGTGGTGATGATCATGATATCAAGCACTCATTCAACAGAAGCAACGACGATGATGATGATGACGACAAACAAAAGAGTTATGATGATGATGATGTTGATGGTGATGATGACGATTCGGGAAAACACAATTCAGATGAGTTCGTTGAACTAACCGTCACCATCATTCCCAATGATGGTGATGATGATGGTGGTGAGGACGACAACGAGAGGAAGGTCCAAGCAGACAGCTGTGACAGCAACCACAATAGCGACGACACCATGTTTAAAAAGAATAGCAGCAAAAGCAGCAGCAACAGCAGCAACATTTTTGAAGAGAGCAAATTCTCCCACTCAACACCAAAACAAGAACTTCTGAAAGAAGAGGAAGAACAACAACAACAGAAGAACACGCAGTTGAATGACGACCTCAAAACTTTGGACAGCAGCTGCTCAGAGAGTGCAGGTTATAAAGACGTTGACGATGAACTTTTTAACGATATTGATTTTAACATTAACAGGACGAAGAGCTCAAGTGAAGAGAATGACGACGGTGATGAAAGTTACTGGCTCTCCCCCATCTACTTTGACTCTGACAGCAACAACATCCAGAACGAAAGCACTCTCACGAATGTCACGCCGATGGATGGGGACACTTTCAACGCCAGTCTGCTTACTTCGATCTGGGAGGCTGGGAGTGAGATGCAAACTGGGGAAGCACATCTTCCTGACGCCAGCATCCACGACAAGTTCTCAAGCGAGGAAGTTGACAGTGACGATGGTGACTATCTCTCGCCCATCACCTTCGATTTCGACAACAACAACAGCAACAACAACTACATCAACAACAACTACAACATCAACAACTGCAACATCAACAACAACTGCTGCATCAACAACAACTGCTGCATCAAAAACTACAACATCAGCAAGAGAAACATCAACAACAACATCCTCAAAACTCACAAGAGAAAAAAATTCACAATAAAAGTTAATTGCACACTCATTAACAACAACAACAACAACAATATGAATTTCAACAACAACAACATCAACAACAATATAACTTCTAACAACAACAACATCGCAACAAGATTCACCCATCCAGACTCGTGTTGCTGTTTGGCCTGCAACAGTAGATTCAGACTCCAACATGAAAACTGCCAACGAGCCATGCGACTAAGCAACAACAACTTTAACATCATCAACAACAACAACAATAAGTATAGCAACATCAGTAACAACAACAGCAACAACATCAACAACAAAATGACAAACGAATTACAACATTTCTTAAGATCGCCATCTATCGCCTCATCGTCAACCGCATCAACAACAAAATCAACAACAGCATTAAACAACACAACAACAACATCCCACAGTACAACAACATTATCATCCAACAACGCATGCTACTGTGTTAAAATTAAACTGCCATTCAAGAAAGTAAAGAGTTCCTCGATGACGACTGTCCCGGGTTCGAATCCAACTCAGAGAAGAAAGAACAAACTGCATAAATTTTTTCAAAGAATCAGAAATATTGTACAGAAAAAAGTGAAAAATCACGTCTTGTGAAATGTAAACTGACTCGTTACTTCAATCAACTATACAATCAATTAACCAACCAACCTATTAATCAATTAACATTTCATTCAATCAATCAGCCTATCAGTATTTTAATCAACAAACTATTTTTAAATTATTACGTAAGTTTATTGTTTTGTTTGATATTTATATCTCTTTCTCTCCCTCTTCTTTCTCTCATTCTCTCTTTTCTTTCTTTCTCTCTCTATTTTATTTTTAAATTTGCAACTTTTTGAATTTGTGAAAAAATTAAAATAAAAATTTGTAAATTGTAACATTGTTCGTTTTTCTATTTTCGAGATGTATAAGAAAAAACTAATTTAAATATTAAGCATTTTAGCTCCGCCTACGTCAAACTTTCAACCAATAGCAGAAGTCGCTGGATAAGAAAATACATCCGACGATATTTGACAGCTGTTGTTAAGTTTGGGAAACTTCCATATGGAATGGAATTATTTCCTTCTAGATAAAAACATTTAACCTGATGTTAAATAGTGTTTTTAATGTAGTTGTAGTTGTTGCGGTTATTGATGTTGTTGATGTTGTTGTTGATGTAATTGTTGATGTCTTGTTGATGTTAACAAAACAGGACGTGTTTTGTTGCTATATTTTGAAAACGATAAACATTTTAAAATTTTAAATTGAGATAATTAATTAGATAAATTCAATTAATAATTGTTAAATACTGGAGTTTAATTAAAATTTAATTGAATATAATTAATTTACTGAAGAGTAATTGCTCTACAAAGACTGGCGTAGAAACTTATTAGAATTTTATTCTGATTTTAAAAAGATTCACAAATAAATTCGAAGTCTTACATTTCGTCGAGAACCTCATCAGTTCACCTAACATGCATTCGGATATCATTGAGTTACCAGGTATAAGTTACCTATACCCCCTACCGTCTCATAGCAACCAAACTTTCAACAATCCCACCAAATACAGCCCCCAAAATGTTGAAACACCACCCCATTTCAGCAATTCAAACTCAAAAACACCCCATTTCAACAATTCAAATTTAAAAACACCCCATTTCAACAACTCAAATTCAAATTTTAACCTCCAGTCATCACCGCTAGATGGGCCAGAAATCTGCACAAACAACATTGATGTATTCCATTACTTCAGCGATGTCTCTTTGCAAAAAAATCAAACTACCAACTTTACCGATGATCTAGAATGCATGAACATCAAAAAAATCACAAATTTCTCAACAATACTTCCAAACGAATTCTCAAATTTTTCGCCAAACTTCCCGAAAGAGTGTGTTAACTGCGGTTCACCCTCAACCCCGCTATGGCGTCGCGATGGGGTTGGCCACTACCTATGTAATGCTTGTGGGCTCTACCAGAAGATTAATGGGTCTAATAGGCCCATTGTCAAGCAAGACACTTTCAAAAGGGTGAGTTTTTGTTGGTGATAGGAATTTTTTTACAACTCTTAAGAAATTTTCGGAGGTATCGAGATTGATAAAAAAGCATACGTGAACCAACGCCATCTCTATTACGTAATATTAGAATTACAAATTATCCAGTTTTTATTTGGATGAAATTTTACTCGTGTGTCATTAATTTACCAAGATTACACAATACATTCCCACACTAACCGCATTGCAAACTAACTTGTCAGTCAGTTTCTGGGTTTCAAACAGCGTAAGAACACGCACCTGCTAGTGGCACTGCTTATGTGATTTTTAAAAATAAACAATGTAAAAAGTTAATTTTCACCAAACTTTTTTCATCAACCCAAACAGACGAACAACAAAAAGTTAGGCGCTACATGTAGCAACTGCAGGACGGCCGTGACGACATTGTGGCGACGAAATAACGATGGAGATGTCGTCTGCAATGCTTGTGGCCTCTACTATAAACTACACGGTGTTGGTAGATTTTGTTGCATGTATTGTATGTATTTTGTATTGTATAGTTTGTTTGTATTTTCTATACATTTTGCACGTATTTGCTATTATTGAATCGTTTGTTTGTATTTTCTATACATTTTTTATTTTATGTATGTATGTATTTGTACACATTTGCATTCTGTATAAGTTTCTGAATGTAACAATACATTTTGTACGTATTCTATATACATTACGTATACATTTTGTATAAATGTTGTATGCAATTTGAATAAACTCCAAATTCAAAATCTATATATTCAGTATTTTTACAACGTAGTTACTCAGCTGAGTTGTTTAACAAATAGGTTGGTTCGATTAGGAGCGGTATGTTTTGGATCAAGTTTTGCTTAATCGTGTGATCTCTATCGGCTGGCGATAACAATTCAACTGTTTAAGACTGTTTAAGTTATAAAGGCATACACACCCACACACACATACACACACACACACACATATATACATACATACACACACACCAAAAATATATACACGCAGACTGACTTAGACACAGACAAAAACAAATGCATACACACAGACGCACACACACACACAAACACACATTTTACGAATACTATTATACTGCGTTTAAACGTGATGCGATAAAATTTTTAACATTATCGTTGAAATCTAAGTTTTAAACATCCGCTTGCTTGATCTTTCAATGAATCACCCGGCAATAAATTTAATGGATTCATTTGATTGCTGTTTTATTTATGCTCTTTGTTTATTTGAAATGGATTTTAATTGATGAGGAATTAATAAACTTGTTTTCTTTTTAACTGTTTCATCTTGGGATTTCGGTTCATTATAAACGTTTTTACCAAGCATGTAGCAGTTGGTTAATAACAGATTCGTATTTTAGTGGTTTTCTAGTTTTTAAAGAGCAATGAAACCATTTCATTGACCACAGGTCAGACGGCCATCCGTGATGAGAAAAGATGGAATCCAGACGAGAAAAAGAAAACCGCGAAACCAGAAACAACCATCTCACACCAACGACATCGCATCTGCCTACACAAATAATAAACAACACAATGCCAATTTCGACTTGAACTTCAACTCAGCCAACGCAATCTCTTACTACAACCAGTTTGAAAGCTACAAAAACCATACCAATACTGAATACGCACTCCTAGACACAATAGAAACCTTTACCACAGGCAACTCCATAAAACATGAAGAATGCAATGATTACGAGAGTTCAAAACCGGGCACATGGTTGCACGACCCAAAATTCAGACCTCAAACTTTTCCATCAGTTACCCTTACCTGGCAAGAAGCTAGTACGGGATTAAAATCCAAAAATGACTCCCAAAATATTTTCAATCAAAATTTACCATGCGACACCAAACTAGAAGACACATTTGTAACGAGCGATGAATGGAGTCTAAATCCAGATCACTCAACGTCAAAATTTGGAAGTTTGGAGAATGATGTTGAAGACAATGACCCCGCATTAATCCCCAACAATCTATTTTTGGCCAAATTCAGTCAAGATTGGAGTAAACCGATAGCTTTACCCTACATAAACAATCAAACGTTCACCATTAATAACGGTAAATAATTTTTTAAATGTGAATAAATGTTTTTCTGTTTCAAAATGACCGAATTGATGCGCGAATTAGAAAAAAAAGCCAGAGCTCTGTAGCCAAAAGAACTGAATTTATTCAAAATATTCAAAAAAAATTCTAATTGCAACATCAAAATGAAAGGAATATTATGTATTATTATTGTTCATGGAATAGAAAGAAATGGTATAGGAAAGAGTAAATTCGATAAAAAAAAGCACATACACACACACACGAACGCACACATACACGCACGCACACACATACACGCGCGCACACACAATATAGGAATAGAAATTGGGGATGACGAATAAAAGCTGTCAATAAATCGTTGTTGTATACACAAAAATACACAAAAAATTATTTAAAAAAAATGGTCGAAAATCTCTTCACGGAATTACGGTAATAACGAAATAACACAAATATAAAAATGAATACAAACACACACACACACACACACACGCAAACAAACACAAATACACACACCCATACATATATATACACACGCGAATTAAGTTCGTTTTCAGACGCAAATATCTATAGAAAAAGTTACTTCTTAATGTTCACACTGTCAAAAATAATCTCCGATTCACTGAATGAACATGGCTGAATGATTGTTTTATCGTAACGTAACGCAGTGTAATGTAATGTAATATAGCGGTACTTCTTAAAGGAACTCAAAACTTTTGATATGGAATTGCCACACACACACACACACACACAAACCACACGCACACACACATTCACACGCACATACAAACACACATATAAAGTTTAAGCAAATAACATCTAAACAGCATTAACTTATTTATGATCGTAAACAGTTCAACTATATACAATTCATTATGTTCTTTGTTAGGCCTTTTTCGGTATTAAACCAATTCTAACAAAATAATATTGCAAAAAATTTAAATAAAAGGTTAAAACATCTATTTAAAAAGTGATAAATGAACAAAAATTTTTAATAAGGCAAAAAAATAAAATCCATGTGTATATATATATATATATATATATATATATATATGCATATATATATATATGCATTTATATATATATATGCTTATATAGCATATATATATATATATATATATATGTGTGTGTATATATATATATAATGACTTAGGGTTGACTAGACAGAAAAAAGTTCTCTTTAGCTGTCTGGATGAATGTTTGATAAAATTCAAGTTATAAATGTCGTGTGTGTGCTTGCGTGTGTGTGTGTGTGTACGTGTGCAGTGTGTGTGTGTGTGTGTGTGTGTGTGTGTATGTGTGTGTGTGTGTGTTGTGTGTACGTGAGTGTACCCAAGTGCAATTGATTATTGAAATGCCATCAACATTTCATATTGCTCTTTATCATAGAGATAACGACGATGATGAAAAAAAATCAACTTACCGATAAACAAATTGTAAAGACGTTAATGAATGAAACAATGACGAAGACGTAATAAAATCTAATGACAGATAGGGTTACTAATGATGACGGTTGGACTTACTCTTCTTCATAGGGGTTGAATGCAAGCGAGGATGCATATTTTCGAAGGCAGTATTATTACTGTGGTTGTTGCTACTACAAATGTTGTTGCATCTGTCACTGCTACAGTCGGTGACGTTGTTAGTGTCAGCAGTAACATTAGTACTGTCATTCATGCTAGGTAGAGTAGCACAGTTGACGTCTGCACCATTGTTGTTGTTGGAGTAGGTAGCAGTGATGGCGGACAAACTTGGAGCAGGGTTCGGTGGGAGGGTGGCTGAGGACCTGCCACTGGGTGGCGGGTAAACGGACGAATCGTTAGTGACGTCCCAGATTTTTGAATGGCATAATCTCTTCTTGCGCTTCATGTAGTCGTGCCTGTAGTAGCGATTGCTACTGTCCGCTATGGATGATGAAGATGCGAGCATATCATTCCCGGAAAGAAACTGGCTGCAAGGAGTGGTCGGAGGCGGAGGAGGCTGCGATTTCGAGTCGTAGTTGTCGTCATCACATGCGAGACAAACTTCATTAGACTTGCTGCTGTTACACATCGCAGGGTAATAGGATGCAGTTGTTCTGCTTTTAGGATCGTAACGGAAACTTCGACGATGATGTCGATTGGATTCGACGAAACTTGTGGCTGGCGATGGGTAAGGACCGATGATCGCATCGGCTGCCAGCAGACTGACGCTCGAATCGAGAGACGAGCGGTAGTTGTTCAGTTTGAACTGTGGAGGACTGAAGTAAGCAGGAGGAGGTGGAGAAGTGAGAAGCTTCGATGGTGATGAAGATGAAGCCGTCGCACAGATGCCGTAGCTTTCGTTTGTGATTGTGGCCGTGGTCGGGGGTGCCGTGTACAGATTCTCCTTCTTGGAAAGTCGACAACATGATTTGTGACCGCGTTTCATCAGACAGAAAGCAATCATCATCATGCCGATGATGAGTAGGCAGATGGTTACAGTTGTTAAGGCCATGTAAAAATGTGTCTTTGAATCATTGGCAGAATTTTCAAACTTCTCCACCGGATTCTTTTTCCGACAATTCATTTCATCCAATCCATTCTCACAATCGCTAACTCCATCACATAGCTGATCCGATGTGATACACTCGATTTCAGAGCATTCGTACAACTCACTGGCCGGCGTTAATACGAATGAATTGTAATGCGTGGCCATACACATCAGGCAGTTCAACTCGTCACTGGCGTCGCCACAATCGACGTTTCCATTGCAAATCATATCGCGTCTCAAACATTTTCTATCGCCAGGACAGGAAAAGAAATCCGGCTGACAAATGGTGCAGTTAATTTCATCGGAGGAATCATCGCAATCCTCTTCTCCATCGCATCTCCATTTCTCCGGGATGCAATGAACGAAACTACCCACATCTACCAGATGATCTCTCGAAAAATGAACTTTCTCTCTGACCGACCTCGCTTCTTCTTTAATTTCATTCCTACTCGCATCGTAACCAAACTTGAGGTAGCGACAGGAGAAACTCTGCGGAGGGCAAGTGCTGTCCACGCAAGTTCTGCCATCGTCGGAAAGGTGCATCTCCTTCGGGCACTTACACCCATTGAAGGTCCCATTACAACCATGGGAGCAGCCCAGTGTGCTGCAAATTGTGGCCTCTGCTTTACCCTCTTTGCGGTTGTCAACCTTCTTTGTAGGACTCCTTGAAACTTCAAAGATATCCGTGATTCCTTCCATCAGACTAGTCATATGGACATCTAGAACTTTCCCAGTTGACAAGTTGTAGGCATTCATCTTATTCGTGCGGTTGTCCACCCAAATAAGAAGCTCATTGATGATTGTAAAAATACTCAGATGATTGACATTCTTCAGTAAACGACTCCTCTCAGAGCCATCAAAGTTTGAGAACTCTATTGATTTTTGGAATGAATTGTACCAGTAGATGCGTTTGGCGGATTCGTCTACAAAAATTGGACCTATAGAGTTGTACGTTTGCACCACTGTCTTCGATGTTTTCGTTATTTTAGGCTCTATGCCGTTTGCACCGCGCGTGTTCTTAGGTTGATGGCGTCGTTGCTTCGACTGTCGTTCATTCTCACTTTCATTCAGGTCAAGGTATTCGATTGAATGGTCTTCATCGACAAAAAACAACAATCTATGAAGCGAAAATAAGTTTTATTTGTTTTTCTTTAATTTTACTCAAGAATTATATGTAATTGCTGAAATAAGTAAAAAAACAAAACAAAAAAACACCAATTCATCGAAACCTGGATTCGACTGCAAGAGCAAGATGCCTCGGCCTAGCCTTTCTACCCATCAAAGTGTTCTCAGTGACCAGGTCAATGATCCCGTGACGTAATTCCTGACCTAGTGACGTCATAACGATGACGTTTTTTGATTTGTCAGTCCAGAAGAGGGCGCGATCTCGCGGGTCGATCAACATGTCGAATGGTTGTTGTGGGGGTTTCGGGCTGAATGGTGCCACGAGTGTTGGCGAGAGCTGGTGATTGGATGGGCGATGGTGGTGAAAATGAATGAATAGCGGACGAGAGGTGGAGTGAATAAGAATAAATGAATGAAAAACTGAGTGAAAGAACAAATTAACAAATGGGTGAAGTGATTGTGATTGAAGATTAAAGGTGTTGATGAGTTTTGCTGATCAATCGATCGATCGATTGATTACAAAATGATAGATTTGGATGAAGTTATACAAAATGAAACTTGGAAAATTTTTGTAAAAGAGAGAGAGATAAAACAAAAGGAATAAAAATGAACATAACGAATAAATAAATAATATAATAATAAATAAATAAATAAACTAATAAATGAAACAAGTGACAGCCAAAAAACTTAACAAACGAAATCGAAATTAAAAATCCGTCAAAAATTCAAATAAAACCACATAAGAATCATTGAGAGGAACGGAAACAACTCCCAATCCCTGATCCAAGAGGTAGATGACGTTGTCCGTGACGTCATGCGCAACGGCCTTGACATTGACGAAGGTTAAGGGCAGAGGGGTGATCACAATGTTGCCGCTGGCTGTGTCGACGACGAAGTTGAATAGAGACTTCGCCGTTGCTATGAACATTGCGTGGGTTGGCACTACATTAAAGAAAAAATAAATAATTTAATATTTATTTATAATAATAATTATTATTAAAATTATAATAATAATTATTATTATTTTCATTAATGCGAACCTATACACTGAATATCGTCGGGAACTAGATGAGCGGGGCAAATGCAGTTGCGTCCTTTATAAAGGCCGTCATGGTTCAGCGTAGTAGTGGTAGTGGTGGTAGGAGTGGACGAGGCCAGGCAAATGTGAGAACAGCCACTATTTCTTGGTAAGGAGCAATAGTTATCACCTTTGTCGTTATGCAGAATGTGTGGTGTTATGTTAATATGTGTGTGTTTGTGTGTGTGTGTTTGTGCATGTGTGTGTTTGTGCATGTGTGTGTTTGTGTATGTATGTGTGTGTATGTGCTATACAGCTATGTATATATCACAACAATCATTAAGTAATAATCATATTTTAGCAGTTTATGAATGATTAATACAATATATGTATTAGAAATAGTTAATAAAATATTTTCTTATTTTGAACATATTTACGAGCAACCTGATTGGACAGTTGGATGACCAATCCTGAGCCCTTTAAGACCCTTCAAGTTTTTCATAATCAATACCACGTTTCCTTCACGATGGGTGGAGTTATCTAATTTTGTATCTGCTTTCTGATTGGCTGTTGATACTTTCATAAGACGACCTTCAACAGAATCGAACCAATAGATGTCGTTTTTGTAAAAATTCAAATATGTCGGTTGGTATGACGAAGTTGAAGACAGCAAGGTATATCTCCCCAGACCTTTAACAAACAAAATTATCATAATAAATAACTTAATAAATCATAATTTGTTTTAAATTAAAAAAATTCAATAAATATGTGTTGAATAATCGTGTTTGTCAATCAACCCAGCGTACCATTATAATTGGCCCCTTCAATTTGACCCAATTTATCTGACCAATAGATATATCGAAAAACCGGGTCAAAGGTCAGACCAATGACCCGACCTAGATTGTTTAATATGGATGACCTCTTTTTGCCAGCCAATGATGTTCTTTCTATCGTAGTTGAGATCAGTTTATTGATCCAAAATAAATACCTCAGAAGGTTGAAAAATAAATATGAAAATACAAAATAATCATGAAGATGAAAATAATAATGAAAGAAACAATGCCTAAAATTAAAATATAACTTCCCAAAAAGTTAAAAATAGCACAAGACGGAAATACCCATTCATCGGGTCAATATTTAGGAAGCTGCACTTGACATTTTTCCAGGCAATGACGATTCTACTCTTGGCACTACTAGTCAACATCTCGATTCTGTTGGAAATCACAAAATATACGTTGCCCGATATATAATCCACTGCTATTGATGACGTTGATGATGACGACGAAGATGATGGTGAAGATGATGACGGTGACGACGACGATGATGATGATGTCTGAAGAGGAAGAGATTGTAGGTTAGTTAAGAATGGAGTTTTAACGCTTTTTGTACTATGTTGGTCTTCAGCGCGTATTTCAACGAAATTTCTCCTATATATGATCTGGAGTTGGAACGTTGGAATGAATTAATTTTATTATTATTATTTATAAATTTAAATGAATTAAAATTTCATTTATTTATAACTTGTATAAGATGTCGTGGAAACTTGAATTACATCAACAGTTGCTAATTATTTCAAGTATTAGAGCGATGTACGTAAATAAAGTTGCAACAAAAGTTAAAATAAAACAATACAAAACAAATATATTCATTAAAATAATAAAATTTCAATTAAAACAATAAGTTAATTTAGAAGAAAGACATTTGATACCCGCCCACCTTATTTCTTCCGTCCAACCAGAAGAGACTTTGCCCCCTAACCAGCCAATCAAATGAGTCCACGTTATTCTCATCCAATGAGAACAACTCTACGTGGTTCGATAACACCTCATTAATGTAACCATTACTAATTACGTTACTAGCATTACTAATAATATTATAGCTAGTACCAGAAACAACGCTACTATTATGAAAAATCATGTTGTGTTCAAATCCACTCCCTTTTTTCATCATCATCTCTATCTTTCTCTCCCCCTCTCCCATCATCTCCATCTGCAAAACCTTCAAACTGCCATTTATGTAGAGAACAACATTTGGTTTGACTTCAGAGCACTGATCCATATGTACCCCGGATAGGATAAAACCATCAGGGCATAGGCATTGGGCCCTCCTCTTACCCCCTATCTCATTGAAGGTTGTGGTGTTGTTATTGGGTGTGATGAGGCAGAAATCACTACATCCACCATTGTCCTCAAAACAAGGTAAGCTGGTTGCGTTGGCTGGTTTGGGGGTTTTTTGGTGGATAAAATTTAATTATGGTAATAATTATTATTTCAATTTATAATTTTATTATTACTTTAATTAATACTTTTATTATTATCAATACCACGGTGAATAATAATACTAGGAAAAATAACCACAACAATAAACATCTCAGAAAAAAAAACCAAATGACTAACAATTGAAGTTGGGGATGTATTGTGCCTTACTGTAGACAGCTGTGACGGTTACAAGTTCAAGGAGGTCACTCGCTAATTCGCTTCTCGTCCCACCTAGTTACGTCATTAATACGTCATTAATACTTCATCAAAGTCGTCATCGTCATCCTCATTAATAACACACGGCCACAAACCGGTAATCTTATTAGCCCTTCCAATGGAGTTAGTGCTCCAGTCGGTCCAGTATATGAATTCATCTAGAAATTGATTGAATAAAAAAAATTATTATTTAATAATAATAATAAAAATTATAATAATAAAAGGATAATATTAATAAAATATTACATAATAAATAGTTGTATTTGTAATTATCAAAAAATCCTCCAAACCAATAAGAGATAGCCCAAACAAGTGAACTACGTCACGTGATACAACTTCCCGCCAATCAGAGCCATCATAATTACTGCTCTCTATCACGTGAGACTTAGCTTTGACCCAAAACAGTCTTCTCATTGGCCGATCGAGGGCCAATCCATTCGGCCATACGACCGTCGGCCAATCAATGACGAGCGTTCTTTCGGAACCATCCAATCGGGCTCGTTCGATTTTGTTGCCCCTTTTGTTGCTGCAGTCTGCCCAGAAGATGTAACTGAGATGATTTGAATTGTACGTTAATATTATTATTATTAACATTAACATTACCCCTACAATGATTTTCGAGCAAAAACTGACTTACCCGGCAAAGGAGTCGACAACAATGGCCCTCGGTTTCTGGAGACCATCCTGAATTATTACCTTTCTGATTGGCTCGACAAACTTTAAATTAGATCTTTCTGACCTATCACTGGCCGGTATTTTTACGAGTTCAATTTTGTTGGCTGCCGCATCCGTCCAATAGAAATTGCCCGACAGCCAATCAACGGCTATGCCTTCTGGTTCGTAGACATTGGTTCTCAGTAGCATTTCTGCACCTAATAATAATAATAATAATAATAATAATAATAATAATAATAATAATGGAAATTCTTTTATTTCAATCAAAGTCAATCTAATGAATGGAAGAAAATAGAATAATTAAAATATATACTAATGTAATAATATTCAATAAAACCACAATGCTCATTATCTATGACAAGTGCAAAACGGTAAAATATTCAAATTGGTTACGGATTGTTTCTATCGCAATAAATGGCATACGTCGATTTAATAACTGTATAAGTTAATTTGTTAATAAATGTAATCGGCCATGAATTTTTAATTAGAGACAAGTTTAAAACATTAAAAAAGCCAATCGGGGTGATTTCAAATGTTTTCAAAACAATTAAACTGTTTTTAAAGTAAGCCTTTAAACACAATTTCAAGTTATTTTCGTATTTCGATTGATCGATAATAATAATAATAATAATAATATTGAATAATTTCTAACTTGATCCATTCAAGTTTGACCTATATATTGCCCTTGTTTTCAAATCTGTCCAATAGATTTTCTCGTAAATTGGGTCATAATCAGCAGCAACAACTTTACTATCTTTGTTTATGTATTCTATGTTTATGATTTGATCAGCAAAAGCAGTAGTATCCAGTGAGATAAGTCGGATGTTCGAGTAATGAACTACCAAGAGGATCTTTTTGGAACCTTTCGGTAGAGATGTTAAAAATTGGATTGAATACAAAATAAGTATAATACGAATGACACCTTCGAAGCAATCGTGGTCGTCGTCATCCGCCAGCATAACACCAGCTGGGCAAGCACAGGAATAAAATGGCGGATTTGGACCCCCCAACGACAAATAAGAACAGGGATGTGCAAATTCAGAAGTCCGATTGGGGTAAGATAGATTTTCCTCGAAAACTCTCAAGCACTGTGGATAATCCGGAAGTCCCAAAAAATCATAAATCACGTCCTCCTCCGTGTCGTCGGAATTTTTTGAATATTTTTTCATAGCGCTTACGGAAAATTGGGAATGGTCGGTGTAATACAAATATCCGGAATGAGAAATGGCCATCGTTATGGTGTAGACCGGAAGGTGATTCCTTTCAATTGTGTGGAAGACTATGACGTCATCGCCATTGAAATCTGCGTAACAGTTTTTATAAAAGAACTATTTTAACTCAAACGAAGTTAATACAATTTGGTTATCACCGCCATTATATATTTATTTTCAGTGCAATGAAAGAGAGAGAGAGAGAGAGAGAGAGAGAGAGAGAGAGAGAGAGAGAGAGAGAGAGAGAGAGAGAGAGAGAGAGGAAGAAAGATAAATGTAAGTAATACACAAATAACATAACATCTTAATCGTTAACCTGAGGTCATAATGTTGAGTGTGGCACTTTCAAACCAGTACAAACGTTCATCAATTGCATCTAAAGTCAGTGAAAATGGAGCTGTAAGATCCGGATTACTAAGAATAACTTTCCTGGAATTCCCGTTCAGACCGCACCGTTCTATTCTTGCCAGTCTATCATTGTCTATCCAGAACATGAAACTGTGAGAATTATTTTTTTTTAATATAACTAGTGACAAAAAATTCATCATCAACCAAGCTATTGAGAAATCAACCAAACCATTCAACCAACTGACCAATCAAACAACTGACCAATCAACCAATTGACCAATCAACCAACTGACCAATCAACAACAATCAACAACCGACCAATCAACGATAAACCGATCAAACAACCGACCAATCAGCAAACAGACCTCCTAACAGGATCAATAACCAGCCAACCAGGAATACTCATGTTACCCCAAACAACCACGCTCCTCTTCGTCCCATCCATCGATCCCACTTCGATTCTCCCGGATCGAGAATCCAGCCAGTAGATATTTTTCCACTTATAATCGAACACAACGGAATCCATCCAAGTTAAAGATACTGAAAACAAATCAACAACATTCACAACTCTCAAAGATTTCGTCGTTGTTGTTGTTGATGAAGATGAAGACGATGAAGATGAAGAAGAGGAGAGATATGATGGGATGAATTTTTTGTCATCGTTGCTGTATGGAACATTGTTGTTGCCTCTCCTGCCTCCATTGCTGACGTTGTTTAAAGTTGTAATGATCTGACCTTTTTTGATACTGCAAAATATGAACACAGCATACATTATAATTAATCATATTCACGGCCTTAAAATATGTATGAATTATTGTAATTACTAGCTAGTTAACGAAATTACATGCATAAATTATGATAATTACTAGCCTGCCAGCGTCAACGTCAGCCCAGAAAATAACTTGATCGTCATATGAATAATCGAAGCATGAATATTCATTCATTCTTTTAATCAATATTTCTTTATGAACAGTTTCTGAGTTGTGTGGGTACATGTATGTGTGCGTATATGTGTGTGTGTGTTAGTGTGTGTGTGTGTGT